CATTTTCTCTGATTCATTATTTACAGTCATAATAAGAAGAAACAACTTCAAACATCCATTAATCAACTGGCTGAGCTCCAGGTTTCAGCAAGACCGGACCCTGGTTACCCTACCTTCCGGCTCCTGCAGAGACAGGCCTTGACAGAAGGCGGCTCCTGAGTCTGAGGACAGGTGAGGCATGCCAACTGAGCATGGGCAAGGAATCAAAGGTGCTAGAGACTTCCAAGACTGTTCCCCTCTTTGACACAAGGTGCGCCTGAGCCGTGCACTCCTAAGACTGGGTTCTACCTGCTCCACATTCTGTGTGCCGCTTCTCTGCCCACATGGGTAATACTAAGTTCTCACAGTGTGACCTGGCTCCATCTCACAAACCTTGCCCTTTTTCGCCTTCCCCCTGTCACTTCTGTTGCTGTTAACTGCCACTGAGTCAGTTCTGAGTCCTAACAACCCTGCATAGGTTTTCTAAGAGCGACTGGTGGGTTTGAATTACTGATCTTGCAGTTAGCAGTCCAGTGCTTATTGTACATACCAGGGCCATACTAGGGCTTCCTCTCACTTTGTTGTTGTTAGGTGCCATCGAGTTGGTACTGACTCACAGAGACCCTATGCAAAACAGAACGAAACACTACCTGGTCCTGGACCCATTGATGCTGCCACTTTGCCAATCCATCTTGCTGGCGGTCTTCCTCCTCTTTAATGTGCAAAATAGTCAGGTAATTTTTTTCTATTGTCATAAATGTGATATGTCAGATAAAGAAATGTTAATGAGAAGTAGGTGCTAACACCTCACTTATTGGTATGGTTAGATTCCATAGATCCAGTTGTTAAAGCAAAAACCAGCCCTATGATCACATTACCTCACCCTCTCACCTGTACTGTGAACATCCTGCTGGGTCTCTGCTGAGGTCACCTGGCACCACTATGGCTCCCACATCTCCTTAGGAGAGCTCAGTCCCCACTGCCACATTCAGGGGAGGGCCTCCCAGAGTGACCTAAACCCCACTTCCTCTCTGTCTCCAGGCTTCTCTCCTCCTGTCCTCCCCACATTTTCAGGATGGGTGTCTCGACCACGCTATCAGTAACCCCTGAATGCCCTTAATGTTTTTGTTGGGGCAGAGGGCCCTCTGTGTGTGGGCAGGAGGACTTGGATGCTGTAGGGGGAATCACCCTGCCAGCCACTCACCTGAGTACATCCCTGACTCTTGCTGGGCAGCCTTATCCCCTCTCACCGCATGTTCTTATGAGAAGTGACAGTTGAGATCTTCCTCTGAGGCTGTGACAGCCAGGCCTGGTCTTTGCCCTGGATCGGAAACTTCAGCTGCTGCTGGCCACTCAGTCACTGACCCTACCTCCACCAGGGAGCCCACCCCACTCATACCTGTACCTTCCAAAGAGTGGGAACTGAGGAAGTATGAGGGGTTGTACAGGTGCTGGTCAGGTCACCAGGGACTTCAGCTGTGGGGATTTGGCCCTGGGCACTGGATTGCCCCGTCTCAGGCTCCTTGCTGTACTTCAGGATTGGGAGCTGGGACCAAGCCCTGGGTCCCTCTTCCTTTTGTAAAAGATCCTTCCTCTTATGATAAAAGGAAATGAGAAAGAAAGATAAGAACTTTGGGCACCTTATAGAGATTCTGCAAACGTTTTAAAATACCTAATAGGAACTCTGGTAGCGTAGTGGTTACGAATTGGGCTGTGAACCACAAGATCAGCTATTCGAAACTACCAGCTGCTCCGAGGGAGAAAGATGAGACGTTCTGCTCCTGTAAAGATTTACAGCCTCGGAAACCCTGTTCAGGGTCGCTCGCTATGGGTCGGAATCGACTCAACGGCACATAACAACAACAACAATAGGTTAACTGGAGTCCTGGTGTAGTGCTACTGGATAAGGTCCAGCACTCAACTGCAAGGTCAGTTTGAACCACAAAGTTGGTGGTTTATACTGACCAGCCACTCCTCAGAAACCCTATACACGGTCGCTATGAATTGGAACCGACTCCACGGCACTTAACAACAACAACTAGGTTATAGCCACTATTGAGAGTACCACCCACATCACTGTATCCTTTTCCCCTGACTAAGGAGCTCTGGTAGCGTTGCGGTTACGAATTGGGCTGCTAACCTAAGGATCAGCAGTTCGAAACTACCCACTGTTCTGTGGGAGAAAGATGAGGCTTTCTACTCCCGTAAAGATTTACAGCCTCAGAAACCCTGTACAGGGTCACTGTGAGTCGGAACCGACTCCATGGCACATAACCACTACCACTAGCACCACCAGGGGCTATGGTAAGGTATTGTACATGGACTATGATTCTCACTAGGGAGATGCTCTCTGAGAAGCACTGTAGCGATATGTTTAAAATGGAGAACATCTTGTTCTTTTTTCTTATCAGGTAATGTACCAATGATCTGACACGTCTCATCTCAAATGAATATCATTTGTTCTCTTTTTATCTAAACCACTGAACATGAGAGCTCAGTAAAATCAGAAAATTTATGAACTCTCTAAGAGAGTCTTTCCTTCATTCTTTTATCTTCCTTTCACAAGCAGGATTATGAGGCTGCTTGAAGGGTTTTTAACATTGTCAGGAAAAATCCCCCCTTGTACACCTTTGTGCACTAGATAACACAGTCATAAGAGTTTCATTGAAATGAAGTAGGAAAGTGGGCAGACACCAAACCGGCTCAGCACCAAACACATTTTGAGTAAATTCTCTTCATCCAATTATTTGTTATCTCATTTGTAATAGAACAAAGAACCACTAGACGGAGCTAGGGTTTAAGAAATCACAGCTCTAAATCTTTTGACTGATGTGATGAGTAAAAGGCTATCTTGTGGAAGAAGTGCATGGTTGTTTTCATTTCCAAGTATGCAAGCCTTATTGAACTCTCTGCTAACAACATTCATCTGTTTATTTTGTGTCTATACAGGATGAGAGAAAGGGGGGATTTTTGTAATGAGCGAATTTATCTAGTTACTCTAATGATGAGGAATTCTGGTGTGGCGCTGTAGGATAATCACTGGACCGCAGGGTCAATTTGACGCATATGATCAGCAGTTCAAACTCACCAGCCACTCCTTGGAAAGCCTATACAGGGGCACTTTGAGTCAGAACTGACTCAATGGCATTTAACAACAATGGTGTCTGTCTTTGGTATGTTGTTATTAGTTGTTGCTGAGTAGATTCTGACTCCCGGTGATCCCTATGTGCAGAGTCGAATTGATCTATAGGGTTTTCAAGACTGTGATCTTTTGGAAACAGATCATCAGGCCTTATTTTCAAGGCTCTTCTGGGTGGGTTTGAACCCCAAATTTTCCTGTTAGCAGTCCAGCATTTAACCATTTCTGCCACCAGGGGGCTTGAACCTTGATGTAACACTTTAGTGTTTACAGTGCTGGCTCTATACCACCTCATTTGGCCTTCACAGCAACTCAAGAGAGATTGGTTGGGAAAAAAATTCCTCTATTTTTGAGGCTAATAAACCGGGACTGGATGTCTTTGGAATACATGTCTTAGATGGTAAATTCAGATAATCGAGTTTCTAGATTCAGTTTTCATTTCCCCCCTATATTCTTCGGTGGTGCAGTGGTGCTAACCAAAAGGTTGCTGGTCCATGGGAGAAAGATGTAGCAGTCTGCTTCTGTGAAATTTCTGGGGCAGTTAGTTCTATTCTGTCCTATAGAGTCACTGTTGTTGTGGGCCATGGACTTGGTTCTGACTTATAGCGATCCTGTTAAGGGTTTCTGTGAGCTACTGGTGGGTTTGAACTGCCAACCTTGCAATGACCAGTGAGTCTGGTGCTTATCCTACAGTGCCACATTAGGGATCAGAGGGTCGCCATGAATTAGAATTCATCTCGACAATAATGGATTCGGGTTGTTGGTATATTTTTCTGCTAACTGTTGACACAGCCTGAAACGAATGAGAAAACAACAACTATAAATTCGTTCCTTTTATAAAACACAAACTTAGTCTCTGGTCACATCCACTGGGGTATAGGGAATATGCAGCTAGATCTTGTCGGAAACCTTCCGTGTGATTTTTCAGGTGTGGAGACAGCACCCCAGCCACAGCTGGGTTTATCAGTGAATGCTCAATGCAGTTTGGGAAGCTGTCCCTTCCCCAAGCATTTGTCCTCAGAGAGAATCCCACCCTTTTGACATTTGTCTGGCACGTTGTTCCTGTTTCTTAACCAGACACAATGATCTTAGGGGATTGTGCTTCAGTTAAAATTCGTTATGTATAAATGCAAACACTTTCTTGACCTTTTGGTAAAGTGTTCTTGAGTTAATAGTAAAACTCAGGTTAGTCAGCCAATTTATCAAACAGACAAACCCTACATTTATTTGTGTTTAGATTTTTTTTTTTTTTTTAGACAAACAAAAAAACGACGACAACAACAAAAAAACCCACTTCTGGAACCGGATCACCCAGTCACTCTGCAAATCCGACTTCTTAAAATTTCAATTTCATTAGTTAAGTAAGAAAACGATGGCTAAAGAAACAGGCTAATGAAATCTATGGGAAGGTCAGAAAATGTCCCAAGAGCCTCAGAAATTCCAGGGACTTCCCACTTAAAAAAGTGCAAAGGGAGAGGATTACACCATCGTGGTCCCCCAACATGTAGTGTGGTGACTTTGTTCAGAGGTGACTCTACTTCCACCAGAGGTAAACCCAAGGAAGTGACTTCTAAAACTTTCCTCTTCACCCACCTGGGGAGCGTCCTGTTGCATTTCCGAGATGTGTCCAGACGATGGCGCTGCCACCTCAGCCTTAGCGCTTGGCCACCCGCCGCTTCCCCACGGCTAGGGGAGCCTCCTGTTAAGCGTCTCCCGCAGGCAGCGGGGGGGCACGAGTCCGGTAGAGGGCGCCGCCGGCCAAGGCGAAGAGACTCCCCCTCACCCCCGCCCCTGCCCCCCGCCCACCCGAAGGCGGCTGCAGCGAGCGGAGCCGAGTGCGAGTGCACTGCGAGGCGGGCCGCAGGGTGGGAGGCGCGAAGAGGGCTCGAGGGTGGCTGCTGGAGGGAGCCGCCGCCGCTGCCGCCGGTGCTCGCCAGGATTCCCGCGGGGCGCATGGGGCGCTTCGAGCCGGGATCGCGCGCGAAGAACGCGCGCAGCCTCCTGCTGCGGTGAGAAGCCGCGCTGGGACGCCCCCAAGACCGCAAACTGCCAGAAGGATGACCATGGCTGGGGGCAGAAGGGGGCTGGTGGCCCCGCAAAACACGTTTCTGGAGAATATCGTCCGGCGGTCCAATGGTAAGAGATGCATTGGATTTCAGTTAGCTAGATTTTTATCCGTGTCTTTATTGCAGACGCCTCCTGACGCTCCAAGCCCGCAGATGCAGTAGAACCCCGAGCTCTGCAACGAGCCGTGGCACGGGCGCCGGGGATGCCACCCGGAGCATAGGGCTGGGAAAGGTGGGCAGGGCGGGCGGGATCTGACGGTTCCCATCCCAAGAAGAGAGCTCTCCTTTGAGGCCCGTCTCACACCTTCTCGGTCTCGTCTCTGGATAGCATGACAGCTGAGGAGCCAAGTACCGGGAAAAGTGATGGGAAGCTGGACGCAGCAGGAGCGGCAGCGCTTTCCTTGTCCGTACTGCCCACCCCTTCACGAAGGCTCTCTGGCCCTCGGGTAGCTCTCAGAGCCGCCTCCTGTCCCCAGAGAGAGCCAGCTTTAGAGACCGGCAACTCTGGGTCCCTACTCCCCCTGGATGGGAGGTTGCGGCTGCCTCCACTTTCCATCCCTGTAGCTAAGAAGTCCGAGGGACATGGTCGGGTGTGGGAGACTTAGGGACAGACTCCTGACCGTCAGATTCCACACTATCACCACCCTGAAAACCTCCCTCCCCTTTCGAGGTTAAGTTAAAGCTAGCGCACAGGGCAGATGGTTTTCCTAGACTTAGGTGGGAATTGCAGGACACAGGTGGAGAACTGGTTTAGCAGTCACAGGTACAAACTTGCTTTTTTTCCTATCTTCTGAATCCACAACAGTGTTTTATTCCGTCCTTACATATTCGCTCACCGACAGATTCCCCACATCACCAAGTTTACAGATCTATCCATTACCTCATAAACTGGTACTCAGCACTCGCCTGGTTCCCTGATGGATAAGAGCAGGGAGGCAAAAGTCCTAAGAACAGCGATGGAAATGGAACAATTTCAAACGCCTTTCGGACCACAGTGGAGCGACTCGACCAAAGCACTTGCAGAGCAAATAGGAGAAACCCCATCACTGAAAAGGACAGGTATCCTGTTCATCAAAAGGTTAAAATGAAAGCGAACCAAAGAGACAGATGGCATTCTTCCTTGAGCGAATTGTGCAAACACCACCTTGTCAGAGCTTTAAGGAGCTTGTGTTTAAAACTATGAACTTCCATTTGGATTTAGTTTAACAATCTAGGGGAAAAGGACCTTAAAAGTAGCATATGCTACTAGTAATAGGGATTTCGGTGACTCTGTAGGACAAGCACAGGACGTTGGACCACAAGGTCGGCAGTTTGAGTCCACCAGTCGCTCCTTGAGGGAAACATGAGGCTTTCAGCTCCTGCAAAGATTTTAAAGCCTTCGAAACAGGGTCGCTATGAGTTGCAATCGACTTGACTCTACCATACTTAACAAAATAATAACAAAATGCTACTAATAAATTCTCCTTGATTAAAAAGATATTTAAGTTTATCTTAAGATAATCAACTTAAATGGGACAGCAAATCATTATGTATTAAAAAAACTTTTAAAAGAAATGACCATTTCTTTATAGTGTGCCCCTTAAGAAGAATTGAATTGAAGGGTATGTCTGGTCAGTCATCTTTCCCTTAAAGGTTTTTATGGCTCTTAAAGCAAGGTGGCAATAATTACCTGAGGATACAAGGGGATGTTAATTGCTACATGAACAGCTGCAATGAACTTTTCTGTCATAAAAATGCTGGAGATGCTCATGAATTTTGACATAAATGCACTAAGAGTTATTGTGGTATTATTGCTATTGTTGTTGGCCTGTTAGAAGGCATGGAGACATTTGCAAATTGGGGTATTCCATTGCCAGTGACATCAAGTTTCTCATACATCTCAAGAACAATCCCACTTTTGGGTAAAGATGAGATGTCCTTTAATTTAGAGTGGAAGCCCCATATCAAATCTATACAGCACATGTGTACATTGCTGATGTTAGGTGCCGTCGAGTCAGTTCTGACTCATAGCGACTCTGTGCTGTATAGGATTTCCAAGGAGTGGCTAGTGGGTTTGAACCACCAATCTTGTGGTTAGTAGCCCAGTGTTGACCCTACAGCGCCACACCAGGACTCTACACGTGAGGTATATATGAGAGGTATATTGTATACAAATATGAAATTTTGAGTGGAGAGAGCAGTAAGAGAATTTTGCATGTTGTAAACACAGGGTTCCTTGGGTTTGTAGGAGAACTTTTAGAATCATGGAGCTGAGAAGGCAGAATACCATCTAATTTAGTTGATTTTCTTAAAGCCACTTCCTCTCTGTCAGCATATGTAGAATGTCAATAGAGTAAGTAGCCAGGAATATTTTTAGCAATGGGAGTTTAGTTTCAGCACCAATTCCAATAGCTTGATCTAAATTAACCAATCATCCAACCAAACAAACATCAACAACCAAATCAAAACATCTTTGGGGAGTTGGACAAGCTTTAAAAAGTATTTATTTCAGAAGAAAAGTTTCTGGTGCTGAAATATGGGATCTACCTTTTTAATGTTTCCCAAATACAAATGGAAAAATGTGAGCCCTTAGAAATATCAATGCATTTACATTATTTTATGGAGATAGGACAAGTTTATTGATTTGTCTCTTCCAAAAATCCACAAGTCTTTTTTTAAGACATTACAGTACCTAAACAGCATTTTGCTTTTAAGTAGTAATACTTTGTTGTTGTTATTAAGTGCCGTGGAGTCAGTTCTGACTCATAGCAACCCTGTGTAGGGTTTCTGAGGCTGTAAATCTTAACGGGAGCAGAAAGCCTCATCTTTCTCCTGTGGAACAGCTGGTAGTTTCCAACTGCTGACCTTGCGTTTAGCAGCCCGACTCATAACCACTATGTTACCACAGTAGCTACTTTCTTCCAGTGGTCTCATGCAGTGTTATTGTTCCTTTTCTACAGATCTGAAAACTGTGTCCTTAGGTGTATCAATTATTCAAGGTGGCAAAGCCAATATTGCTGAAGTCAGGGGTTTTTTTGTTTTGTTTTGTTTTTTTACAAAAAGAGTTTATCACAGTCCTTCCTTTCAGGCTTTCTGATTTACACTTTGAAACAACTTTCATCATCCTTAAAACTAACAAACTACTCATAATATGTTGTTGTTGTTAAGTGCTGTTGAGTCGATTCCGACTCATAGCGACCCTGTATAGGGTTTCCAAGGAGTTGCTGGGGAGCTTGAACTACCAACCTTGCAGTTCAAATGACTTTGCAGTCTGATGCATTATCAATGAATAATAGGAAAGACTTTGTTTTGGAGCATTTGTATATCTTAGTTACTATGTTCTCTACATCCCTTTTCCCATCATTGTATATAGATAAAGGTACCAAAGCAAACCACTTTCCCCAGATACTTGAGGGCAGAACACATGAGGCCACAAGCTTCTTGACTCCAGTGCCATGTTCTTTATGGTAGATCATGCAGCTACCTTGCTAATATCACCATTCTTTCTCTCAAGAAGCATAATTTCCCCGTGGAGATTAAATAACATGTTATAACAACTTTTGGCTAACAGCCATGCTACCATATCCAAACAGAGTAACAGGGTAAAAGAGAAGCTAATTATATTTTCAGGAAGGGTGGTGTTTTTACCTTTATCAATTGTTTAGTTGGTGGCTAAGGCAGGATAATGAGTACTTACATTTGTGTGGCCCATTATAAAGCACCACTTTACTTTCTGTGAGACATCACCTTTAATCTCATAGCCTGCAAGGAAGGTATAATACCTTCAGCGGGTTAAGTGATTTACCTACAGTTAGTTAGGAAATTAGTTGGAAAAGGTAGTTATAGGTAGATTAGGGACTAGTCATCAGTTGTCATTGGTTTATTCATTAACAAAGATTTATTGAAAATGTTTATTGAACACTGATGATACAGTGGAAAATAAGAAAATCTCTTGTACTTGGAAAAAAAAAAGTTGTTGTCAAGTTGTCTGTAACTCACAATGACCCATAGGTTAGTTATATCTTAATAATCTTGCCCCTATTTCACAATGTTTCCTGGCTGCAACTCTCTTATTTAAGTTTGTTGTATTTGAAAAACATTTACAAAGTCTTTATTGGTTGATGGAACTGATATCCAGTTGAACTTTACTTGATACTTTCTGAATACCATTTGAAGGAGAGATTTGATCATTATCTGGTTCTTTTAGATTGCTGTAATTAATCAACACAGGTCATTAATAATCTAAGATTTGATTTGATTTTACCGTGAACATGATTCTGCCCATTTAGATCATCTAGCATTCATCTATAAAGGAGCCCTGTTGGTGTCGTGTGTTAGGTGTTAGGTTGTTAACTGTAAGGTTGGCGGTTCAAATCCACCAGCCACTTCACATGCAAAGATTCACTGTCTCAGAAATTCTATGCAGAATCTCTATGAGTTGGAATCAACTTGATGCCAGTGGGTCTGTTCTTTTGTTGTCGTGGTTGTTTTTAATGTACCCTTCCACTGACTTCGTTGTTACATAGTTTAAAACCTCTGGTTGGAAAGAACTATTCCAGAATATTTTTTGATGGTTTCTTAATCTGCAGGCGCTCATGGCTAGAATGCTGCTGAAACAAATAGGAGATCTGTTTTAGGAAGGCTGGCAGATCTTGGTGCCAGGAAGCAACAGAAAATATTACTCTAAATGGTCCCATTCTAGGAAGAGCATATGCTTAAGTATTCAGGAACCTATATCAAGCAATTGTAGGTGCCAGTAAGAATCCAGGCACATTAGCAGGAGTGAATGTAGCACATTTGGGTACAGATTTATGTACATGTATAATTTACAGATTGTTAAATCAGCTGTGTTTTTGTATAGCGTTAAGTTGGTTCAGGTTGTTGATATAATTAGTTAGCAAACAGGAAGAGAGCCGCAGGTAATGTTTGTGTCTCTTCATAGATGTGTTGAGCCATGGTAATATTTATATAACAGAAAGTTGGTTCAAATCCATTGTTGCTCTGAAAGGTGAATGGATGATAATCTAGTTTATTGCCAGTTCATCAGTTTGTTGTGATTTTTGTTGTTGTTTTGTTTTTTTACCTTGTAAT